CAAATTGGAAAATCGTGACTTTCTCCTTGAGGAAACTCTGATAAACTGGACTAATCTATAATTTAGCAAATTGGAAAATGAGGAGGTAGAAGAAGAGCTGGTGGATCATAAGCTGATGCCAGTTCTAAAACTGTAGTCCTTAGTAACTTGGTATTTTAGCAGTTACTCGGGGTTCCATAGCTATATTCAGCTTTAAACTCACTGGCTACTGTTTTACAAATAGCAGCTGGCCTCAGCACAGTGATGATTCTCTGTCTTTCAACTCTCACCTTGAAAATCAGCATCACATTATTGGCATGTACCATTCTTGCATTTCACAATCATGTAAATACCTTACCACAAACCACATGTCTGCACATGAACACCTAGCTTTTCCATTTGTTGACTGACTTAGCCCCTTCCCTTCTCCAGCCCTGGCATATCATTAGTGGTGTGAAGGGAAGAGAGCACGTGGAGTGCGCAGGATGAGTCAGTCCAAGGGAGGCTGCAGGTCTGGGTTAAATCACAAATGAGCTTTTCCCATTTTTATTTTGTGGCATGTTTGCCAAAGTGTGGTGGAGTGCCCTTTGGGGGTAAAAGGTAGAGGTTGCAGGTCAGGACTGGAACTTTTAATATACTATTTAAGATGTAGTCAATTCCCTTCAGATACTTCCTTCCCTGACCACACCCCTTTGTTCTTGGCCTTCATACCATAACTCAACCTGCTTCAGTTCTGCCCAAGTAGTGACCTGGGGTGACATCCTCAGAAGAGGTGAAGCTGGAGGAAGGAGCAGAGACCAAGGTCGTCAATTGGCAGGAAAGTAATAAAACCATAGCAGGCAGTGGACACAGGAAGAAAAGGCACTGTTCACTCTGGCTATAAAAGGCAATGATATTTAACAAGAGATATGATAGGGTCCATGAAATTTAGTCAGTGTAAATAAGGATTACAATCAGAAGTTAGAGTTAAATCTAATGTCAGTTTTTACTCACTCATGAATTACTATTCAAGCCTTTGCTTTCTCTTTATTGATTACATATCATCATCATCATCATTAAAATACTTGAATATCTACAAAGTACATTAGAAATTCAGACAATGTTGGAAGAACTCATTGAGAGGACATGACCCGTGAGTTGGACCTGGGCAATTAGAGCCTCCTCACTCTCTTCCCTGTCCTTAGGATGTACTTGCTGACCACAATTTCCTATAGTAGTAGCTGTTTCGAGGACAGAACCTTGAGAGAGTAAGATATTTATTGAGACCATCTGGAAAGAACACATGATTGAACTTAGTTATGGCCTCTATATAAACTTTTTAGATTGTGGTGGATGGATGCAGAGATCTATTCATCTTGTGACCACCCAAGGCAGGGAACCTCCCTGAAACTCCCAGCCTTTAAAAACCCTCAAAATGAAGGTCCCCAGGGAATGCTCCCACCTCCGTGAGCACACCCATGTTTTTCCCTTTCCCCACTTCTCCCCCTACAGGTGTGCATTTCCTAAACTCTAAGGTACCCCAGAGACTTGCAACAAGGGGAGCAATGGGCAGTGGCAGCTCATCCTGGCTAAACACCAAGCCTGTCTCCAAGGCCCCCTTTTATTTGACGCTCCAGTGAGCAGACAGCAGCCCCTCCTTGGTTCATGTCTTTCCTACATGTTTAGAGAACCAAAGCAGCCCCACCTAATCCCTTTTCTGTTGCTTCTCCCATCCTAAGCCCTTCCTTGTTTCACTGTCTCCAGCTTTAATAAACATGCTCTGAGAATAAAAAAAAAAGACACATATGTTTCTTTGCTTAATAAAACTTCCACCTAGCAATCTGAAGTTGTCTGCCTCTCTTTTTTAATCTCTTCTTGCCCTCTGTGTACAGGTGCTGATTTCATATTTTGCCCAGGGAACTCCCAAGCTTGCCTATCATTCCTCAAAGTCTGGGTGAACTTCATACTTCATATTTCTCCTTTACTGGAGAACCAGATGACTGAGGATGGGAAGGGTCAACTCTGTTTCCTGACACATCTTGATCTCATTGTAGAGGTACTCAGTAAATGCTTGACGAGGGGATGAAAGAGTGAATGACTGAGAATGAGTGCTCGGTACTGTCCGTGGAAACCTACTCTAATCCTTACTGTGGAGCTAACATAGGCATATTTTCTCTTTTAACCCCAATTCCATAAAGGTGCTACATGTTTTCATTTGATAAAATGAACGTATTCTTTCCTCATTCTTTTGCATAGAATTGATGCAGTGATTATGGTAGCCTGAAAGAAGACATGTTTGGGCTTCTGTAAAATAATATCAAAGACTGAGTGGCTTATACACAACAGAAATTTATTTTTCACAGTTATGTAGGTTGGAAGTTCGAGATCAGGTGGCCAGCATGGTCAGGAGGGAAAGCCTCTTCTGGGTTACAGACTTCTAATTGTGTTCTCACGTGGTAGAAAGGGAAGGACTCTCTCTGAGGTTTCTTTTATAAGGGCACCAGTCCTAAGCATGAGTCATGAGGACACCACTCTCAGGACCTAATCCCCTCCCAGGAGCCCTACCTCCTAATACCATTATATTGGGCAGTAGGATTTAACAGGTGAATTTTGGAGAGACACAAACATATTCAGACCACACACACCACTGCTGCTGGGTGTGTGGACAGATGACAGTGCTTAGCTGAATCCCACTCATCAACCTCCAACCCAGCGATTGCCCTTTGATGAGGAGATCACACACCTTTGCTGTGGAGTTCACACACCTTTGCTGTGGGCAGCCTGCATCAGATGTTCGGTGTGGGGATATGAAGCCCTGGCCTCCATGCTCCAGTTTGGGACAGCTCTGCAAGGACACGTCAGCACCAAATGTCCTCATGGGAAAATCTGAGCTTTTGTTGTGACTACGTCTCTGCCCAACTTTTCCTTCTGCTTCACGCTGCTTTCTTTCCCCACAAGTTCCCAGAGTGCTCCCCATTAAGTTCCTGCAAGGAAGCTTAGTCTCAAAGTCCTCTTCCTGAGACATACGACGTCTCACATAACATGTTTGTTAATTTTAAAACTCTTACTTCACTGCCGCTAGAATGATGTCAAATTGCATCTGTTTTTTTTCTCCCTTGAGACTTAGCTAATACCACATTACCATATTAAGACCAAGGGCCTAATGTAGAAATTAAATCCTGCTATTAAGACTAAGCACATTTTTTTGAATATTAAAACTTTAAAGTCTGGATCCCACACAACTTTTCATAACAAGCTATAGGGATTAAGCTATATAAGCAGCTTAATGCTTTAACACTCCATTCTCCATCACTTCTACTGCTGGTGTGACTCAGATGTTTCATTGTTAAACCTGCAGAAACAATGACCTCTGCTTGCAGAATGGAAAGAAAAGAATGACACACTGGCTTCTCTTAGACACGGTTTGGAGGAGAGTGAAGCTTCTTCAAATTTACAGAGATATGATTTTTAAAATTAATTTATTTCTTGAATTTCTAGTGTACCTTTTATTCAAAGGTTTGAAACTCAAAAGAAGTTTTTAACTTTCTCTTTTTTCTGTTCCCTACGTTTCTCCATGTAAAAATACCATAATTAGGAGTGTGAACCTGATACATCCCACTTCCTATTTTATTTTTTTCTGTTGAATAAGTCACATTCTTTAAGATCGATTTCTGGTGGTTCTGAATAATGGTGTTCTGCAGTGCAGTTGCAGTTCTGACGTGGCTGTGTGAGGAGGTGAGCCATGTTTACCTAGGCTGCCCCCGTCTTCCACACTCTTTCAGAAAAGTGAAATAAATAGGGCTGGTTCCAAACTCAACTGTGAAACGAAGTTTGTTCATGATGAGCCTCTAGTGGTCTATGATAGACTCTTTCCCTTTGTGGTTTCTCTTCCCCAAGTCTGGGGCCTCCTCAGCCCACTGCCAGCTTCCTGTCTGCCCCTCTTTTCAGCACCCTTCTTCTTTATCCCGCTCTCCCTGTTCTGCTGTTCTCTCTCCGTGACCCAGAATGAGTCTAATAGTTTCCATGCTGCCTATTGTCACTACACCGGAAACTTCCATGTTCTGTAACAGCTCACGCCCAAAGCCAGCTTTGCTCTCTTAGGAGGCAGTTTGGCTGGGCACACATGTAGTTGATTACTAAATATTTAAATGAGTGGATAAATAAATAAACTGCTCTCTCAATACACCACTTAGCACCCATCCTATTTCCCCCTACCCCAGGTGTATGTATATTAACGGAGGCCTGATAAGAAACAGCATACCTTCCTTTCTTCCATGACCACACTAGGTGAGTTGGGAGAGGAATCCCATGACTGGTTGTTGTTAGAATATTCTATTAACTATGCACTTCTGATGCTTTGACCTCAGGGCCTTATGAGGCTGGAGAGATTGCTCCTCCTAGGGTTAGCCAATTTCCAGAGAGCAAACAGCTTACCTGCTCAAGTGTCTTTCATATGCAAACCCACCAATCCAGAGCCCATATTCCAACCACCTCCTTTGCTAAACTCTCACAGGGCTCACCTGGGTGATCATCCATGTGCCCTAATCACCCCAGGGCCAGGTTCCACAAAACTCGGGACAGCTCTTATGCCTCAGACCCTGATGAAATTATTCAAACCAGCCAATCTTGCTTACCCTGCCTTGCCTGCTTCTTTCTATGGAAACCAGAATAAAGTTCCATATCTTCTCTTTGCTCCTCCTGCCTCCTGAGCAACGCTGGTGCTTCCTCATGTGGCCCTGCATGGCATAACAGCTTCCCTCCTCTTGGGACCTGTAACAAACTACCTTTTTAGTGGCAATTGCCTCCTGATCTGTTGGCCTCACCATACCTGAATGATAATACTAATAATAAAAATAATAATACCTATATTTTAAAACAGTTACCTCAAATACTTCTGTTATCTCAAGTGTGAAGTCTCCCCTGCTAATTCTTTTAAGGTCCCTAAGAAAGACTCTTTTCCATAATTTTCGACATTGGGGAAATGACTTTTACTCAGAGAAGACAGTTCAGCATTAAATTTTAAAAATGCAATGACAGTCTTTATTTAATATGTATTATCACCCTGGGACCTAAAAAAACACCCTTGTTATGAATTATTGTATTATTCTGAATGACTAAAGTTCAAAGACACAAAGTGATTTGCTCAAGATCACCGAAGAGGTGAGACTCAAACACAAAAGCTCTCCTGGTGCTCCTCTGACTCATGTCCTGCTCCCACTCCTTCCTCCTATCATGGCCTTCCAAGCCTTCCAAAATCTTTTTGCAAAGTTTTCTTGCATAACATCTCCATTTCCTTTATACTTGGAAGAAAAAGTATGGCAGTCTTTCCAACCAGGGCCAATAAATGAATCCACAATAAAATATAGGTGAGGTATATCTAGATATTTCAACAATAAACAGCCTTGGTAAATGAATGTGGAGTTTTAAGAAGGTATTACCAAATGGTAGATAAAATCCATAAATGACAGAAGTTTCTAATATGAAGCCTGATCTTTAGTGAATGAATTAGAACTTTCACAAATTTTCTTTTTGAAGAAATTCCATTCTTTGGTACAAAGAACAGATCTACAAAGAACAGGACTGGCTATGAAGGAGACAGGAAAAAAATACCTTGTGGTTTGGATAAAACACGAACCGAGAAGGAATACTTAAATTCAATATTGTAAAGATAAAAAGTAAGCATACAAAAGACAATCTATAATAAAATTGTTATTGAATGCCACCAAGCAGCGCAATACACAGCTAAGATATTAAAACTTATGTAGTCAGTGTTGACCATAGTTATTGGGGAGAACACTTCAAATACAATAATGGAAAAATTAACCCAATATTGAACAAAACACAACTCATCGAAATTTAGTCATTAGTATTTACCAAATTGGTACAACAGTTTGGAATTTCACTGTTTTAAGCAAGAAGGAGGCAAAGCTGAGAAAGAGGGAAGAGAAAAACATAATAAAGTAAATCAAATAATTTGGAAATTAAAAATACATTGATTAAAGCGTTGGGTTGTGAGCATGGAGAAAAGAAGACTGGATAAGGAGGCTTGAAGGCAACCAGCGAAGTGTCCAGTTGCTGCCTGGAGATGGTGATTGGCAGCTGCTAAGAATTTCCCGGAGTGTGGGTGAGAAGAAATAAGCTGGTGTGGCTGGGGGTCCTCAGCTGGATATCAGGAAGAATTTCCTGACCCGTAAATGTCAACAGCTCTGGTTTACAGGATCAAAGGGAGGCTTCTGGGATGTGCCTATCCTTGGAGTATTTTTCAGCCTCAAGCAAGAGACTGGGTGGTTTTCTGCAGCCCCGTGGATAGACTGGATGGTCTGCTCAGAATCCGCCCGTCTCAGGTTGCAGAGAGGTGTGCCTTACACAGCTGCTTTCAGTGTCCTTGCCAGCTGCTGACTCCCAGCTCAGAGGCTAAAGGGAACAACTAAGTCTTTCACACTGTGTTCCTCGCTTGGACTAGTCCTTAGGTGTACGCTGTGGTTTTTTAGCTCTTGAGCACTTAGGCACTTTCCTTCTGAGCCAAGGGCCTCCTGGGAACAATGTAGCATTTGTGTGTGGACAGTAACAGCCTATGAGCCAGAGACACTTGGCCAAGCCCTCCCTCCCACAAAGGGCTGGATTGCACACCTCACCTGCAATAATCTGGGCTGAGTCGGCACTAGCCTGCCCCGCGGCCAAGTGCTCCCCTCCTCCTACCTCTTCCCTAACCTGTTACCTGATTTGATTCTGAGCAATTTGGCTATCTTTACACTAATTCTCGCACAGGATGGTCTCTACCCACCTCCCATCCCACCCACGGAGTGAACAATAACAAATTAGTGGCTTGTAGCCTGACTGACAGTGGGCACCTAAGAGTGAGGTCCCCACTGCTTAGTTGGGCAGCTGGGTATTTACAAAAGGTTTGCAGAGAGATGCCAGTCTTTTCTTATAACGTTATGGCCTTTTATTGCGCACTTGTGGATGTACATGGGGAGTCAGGAATGCTAACCAAGCATTGAGTTTTTACATGGTCTGTTTCTGTTGAGTTCAGGACCTTAGGAACATCATTTGACTTCTGGCAAAAAGACCATTCCAGAAAGGAGTTTAAAACCATCCTTTTGATCTTGGCCCTGAATGAGAGGGAGGACATGTATTTATGAAGAAACTAGAGTTTCAACCCTGAGGTAACACTAATAGAGAAGAAACTATGTTATGTGTAAGCCACGTGCAGTGTCCAAATACAATATGAAATGATAAATCAGAACATTTCCTTCGAGACCTGTCTTTTCTTCACAGTGGTATCATATACTTCTCTTGAAGCCTCCATCCAGTGGTGGTGTGGTGGTACTGCAGTGTATGGGCCTGCGTGGTAGGCATGAGTAAGAGAAAATTGGATGGGTAGTGAGAGCATGTAGGCAAATTAAAAGGAAGCACAAGGAGAGTAAATGAGATCTTAAGGAACGAAATGGAGCTGCGTGAGTGTGCAGGGCCAGATGGTTTTGTTGTTTAGTGGGTCTGAGTTTGGGTTGCCCCTCTGTTTTCAGCATGAAGTGGGCACTGGGTGGCATGCAGAAGCACCAGAGAGAATTCAGAGTTCCACCTTTTGAGGCTTTTCTTCTGATTCATCATTTTCTCTCTGAAAGACATCATGACATGGTATTTAGATCTGGAGTCCACTCTTGTTTTTTGAGCTCTAAGATTAGAAAACTGAGCTATTTTGTTGATGCTGGAAGTTCCAAATCTACCTGGAATTTTTATGTCATGAACTCTTTCTATGGAATTGGATTTGTTTCCCATGGATATTGTACTCAATATGGTGAAATCCCAAATTCAGCTCCTTTCAATAAACAAGACCTTTTCAAAAATGCTTTTGTAGTTCTATTCTGATGACTATATCCTAACGAGTATCCAGGCTCCATCAACCATGTTGCTCATATACCTTTGCTCTTAATAAAATCCAGTGGAGCCAAAGAATTTTTATTCACAAGGAAATAACAGGGACATAGAGAGGAGAGAACTCCACTTGCCTTCCCCGCAGGCTCACACTCACCGGCCCGTTCCCTTTTAGGAATCCATCACAGAAGTTTTGCACAAGCTCTACTGACACTTCTGCCATGGGCAGTGTATCCCACTCCTCATCGAAAGTCCGGTAAATCGCCAAAGCGGGCAGTTCAGACGTCTTTAGTTTGAAATATGATATCACCTTCCCATTTTCCTTTATACCACTGTCCACCAGAATGAAAAGAATCTGCAGTTGGAGAAGTTTGAAAGAGAGAGATCTGTCTGAGGTCCTGGGGGGAAGAGACATCTTGTAATTGTGGCATTTCACTCAGACCGAATTTGTGGTTTGTGCCACACAATTTACCTCTCGGTTGGACTAGAATGAGTGTGTGCTTGCTTTGCATTGCTTAGGTATATTATCCCTTTGGTCAGGGTGATTTAATTTCAAGAACAGGGGATTGGGAGAGACTAGTGGTAACCTTTAGTGATTAAGTAAGTAGAGCCTAATGGTTAAAAGCAGAGAATACATTTTAAATTTTGCTTCTGGTACTATTTAGCTGCGTGACTCTGAGCATATTACTTAGCCTTTCTGAGACTCAGTGTTCTCATGGGTGAAATGGGCTTTTGTTGGAGATTAAATGAGAGGATGCAATTAGTATTTCTAGTATAGTTTCTAGCACACAGTGAGTGCTTCACAAATGTTAACTATTCTGTATTATTAAATCAAACCTTGTACCTAAAGTAGAAATCTTCTTATAATATTGTGGTTACAGAATTATCTAAATTCAGTAGCACTGACTACTTACAGTGTTATGAAAACAGCCACCAGAAAATCAGCTTATTTTATCAGTAGGTAGTTATCATTGATCAGGTAACTTAGTTCAACGCAGTAACCTTGAAGTTGTTGAAGTTTTACTGTTCGGTGATATCAAGTGGAACTATACAAGGAAGGGAGTATGTATGTATGTATGTATGTATTTATTTATTTATTGTCCCTTAGCCACCAGGTACTGAACATTCGTTAGGCGAGATAGGTGTTTGTTATGTGAAACAGGTCCTGAGGTCTAAAACTTTAAAAGACTAGGGCAAGAAGAAAAACATTGTAATGAATAGGTAATTTTTATTTTCAGTATCTTTGAGTCTCTGTTTTGTCTTCACTTGTCCATGTAGGAAAAAAGTAACAGACTTTACCACTAATGAAAGACATAATTATACAGGCCTTGAATAGTATAAACTACATATCTTTAATTTTAAATCAGAGTAATGTGATTTAGCATGTCCCAGTTCTTGCTTTATCTCTTAACCATGTAAGTTTTCCTTATCTATCTCACTCCCTTAGCCCCAGTTTTCTTTTTCTACTGCGCTGGTACTGAGTTTTCAAAAGAGTGTCTTCCAAGCCAGACCTACCTTCCCCTGGAAGAGTTTAGCTGCCTTCTGGTAGCTGTGCATGCTTTCTTCATACTCGGGAGAGGCCTTGTTTGTCATCAGGAGAAGATGAACAGGAACCATGCTATTAAATAGGCCAATCACAGTCTGGCAAGTTGAAATGGATTATAACGGAGTGGAAGAGAGAGGGAGAAAAAATCCCCATTAGTGGTGACCCAGTGACTAGGTAGAGTGCAACGTGAATGAGAGCTGTTCACCCATAACACGGTGGTAACTAGCCTCTCAGATGCCTTTCAGTAAGGCTCACCCTCTGGTTTTCATGCTGGGTTGACCTCTTTTCCCCACACAGAGTAGGGACGGATGGAGTAACCAGTGAGATGAGGCAGAAATGATGGAGTGTAACTTCCAAGGGACAGCCATAAAAGGCACTGTGGTTTCTGCCTTGCTCTCTCTTACACCACTCATTCCAGGGAAGACTAGTCCCAGTGTTGGAAAGAGTCACATGGCAAAGGACTAAGGCCTCCTATTAACAGCCAGCACTGACTTGCCAATCACGTGATGGAGCCATCCTGGAAGCAGATTCTCCAGCCCCAGTCACACCTTCAGATGACATTGCCTCCCTGACCGATGACTGTAGCCTCACAAGGGGCCAAGATCAGAAGCACCTCTCCTAGCCACTCCCGAACTGTTGACCCACAGAAACTGCATGTAATCAATTTTTACTGTTTTAGGCTGCTATACTGATATATAACATAATCTGTTATGTGTCAACATAATCTGTTATATATCAATAGACAACAAATATGAGGGGGGCCCCCAAAACTTGGAATTGATTTATGAAAAATTGTGTATTTATTCTTATATGTTTAAACTTCAGTCACCTTCAAAGTACTCTGCACTGGATGCAGTACACATATCAAGATGTGTACATCGCTCTGTGGAGACTCTCTAGCTCTCTTGGCTACCCTGCAGGCAAGGATCCAGTGGGTTCTTTCCCCAATATTCTTCCCAGTAGTTTAAAACTAGTTCTAAGATTTTAAGTTCAGGATGCTGTATGTTAAATAATTATCTCTTGTTTGATTAGATTCTGCTAGTTGAATTTAAAGCATGTATCTGCCCTCCTAAAGTAGACATGAGGATAATTCTTCAGAAGAGTCAAGAAGCCGAAGCTAAGAAGTTAAAAGTTACTATTGGTTTAGCAGAAGGGATTAGACGTGTCAGAAGTGATTAGTTTAATCCTAATAGACACAGCCTGATTCTTTGCCTGGAAGCCAAGGATTGAGTGTGTGCATTCAAGGTGCACAGCAGGCCAAATGCTCGCCTGTCAGTTTCTGCCCAGTTGCTACTGGTGCAAACCTCTGCCTCAGGAGCATCTGAGAAATAGCTCTTTAGTGTGGGCAGGTCTCTGAGTGAGACAAGTATCACCTTGGGGAAATGAAGTCATAATAAAAGTTGGACTTGCTTCTCTAAAGAAATTCTTATTTTATTCTTTTTGAGGTTATTTATCTTCACTACTAACACAAAAATTAAAAAAAATGTCATTGTTCTGTAAGATAAAGATGGACTGGGCATAAGGACTTGGGCCAGTTCTTGCCCCTGCCTTAGGCTGCAGAACTCCAGGGCCCTGAGACCGTAAACCCAGGGACCATAAAATCAGTCTTTCTGGTTCCACATGCACTCTTGGGTGCCTGGTAGACACAATGATGAAAATAGCGATGGTCTAGGAGAAAAATGCCTTTTCGATGATCTCTGCCAATACCCCCAGGTTGCATGTGTTTGAAATCTTAGCAAAAGTGGAAAAGGAGTCACCACTCCACAGAGACAAACATGGTGTGAGGAGTGGACAGGAATTTAGTCAACAGGGGTGTTTTCTATTGAAGGCTGGTGGGGCAATGGAAAAACCACAGGATCCAGTCAGACAGACCAGTCATGAAAAAAAGAACGGACAAATGCAGAGAGGGCTGTCTCTGAAGCTCAAATTCCCAGTCACATGGCTTTGAGGAAATTATTTTGCTTTTCTACCCTCCTATTTCCTGTCCTGTCAAATGGAAATAGACAATGTGAACTAATGCATGATGAGTTCAATTTTCTGCCTTCAATTATGCCTTTTCTACTAACTGTGTGATCTTGAATAAGTCAGTTGGATCTTGAATGTTTTCTATAAAATGGGCACAATAATTTCCTTACTTCTACCTCAAAAAAAATCAATGTAAAGATTCGAAGAGAATATGGTAGGAAAGGGAGTTGTCATCTCTAAAAATCATGATATGCATGCAAATAAAATACTGTTATTAGAGAATGCATAGTAACTCTGAGCTAATGGAGATCACTGGAAATTAATACCCCATCACTCTGTGATCTCTGTCAGGAAAAATAAAAGGTGGGCAATCTAAGGTAATTCTATAAGCTGTAGAGTGTCAGAAGGCCAGAAGATCATCAGGACAAGAAGACCAACTCCTTACCTAGGCTGCATACAGCAGGCAACGCTAAAAGAAGGCAAACCTGGAAAGAAAGCTGACTCACCTGGAGGGTCTAGGTGTGTGCAGGTGGAGCCAAACCTGCAATTGTTAGCTACGAGGCATTGGGAAAAAGTGCCTAAAATTTTCCATAGAAATTTTATGTGGCTGTGACATCCAAGTACGTGATCAGTAGGCTTTATTTTTTTTTAGATTTTTTTGTCTATTGATGTATTTTACTGCTTTTTAAAAAAGTATTGGTTCCCAATGCTTTCGGGAAACAATGGGCCTTCAGCATCGATTGCGCTGTTGTTTGAGAAGCATGCTCTAGAGCATTGCTGGGAACAGGGCTGCTCTCCTGGATCACTGTCAGGCAGCAAAACTCAGGAGTTTTTGAATCAGTCACCTTAACGTTGCATTAGGGCTCTTTCTTATTAGTCACGTGATAGGTCATTTAACTTTCCTGATTCTGTTTCTTTGCTGAATAGGGACAAAGTTGATCAACCTTAAAGGTTGCAGCAAGGATGACAAGATAAACAACTCAGGTGTTCAATTAACCGCAGATACTGTTAGTACTGATGGAAGGTCAGAGCTCCTGGGGGCAAGGATCTCTGCCATGGAGATAAGCATCCTCCCTGACACGGGGACATCAGGGGCTGGAGGCGGGGCTATTGTTTACCACAGGATTGTACTCTGTCACCAAGCGGAGACTGTTGATCTCAATGAAACGGCTTAATTTGTTGGCATCAATGTTTTCAATGGCTTCACTCACTAAATCCAGTTGTTCGTTATCCACCTGAATAACACAAACATAACGCAATTGTCACTGCTCTGTCTTTATTCATTCACTGGCAAATGTTTCTGAACTATCTACCATGTGTCAGGCACTGACTGGAACTCCAAACACAGAAAGGTAAATAGGAAATGTTCCCTGCCCTTGAGGAACACGCTGTCCCATGGGGCACAGAGAAGCGGACAGACATGACCCACAGGATGTGGCAAGTGTCATCACAGGCCCACATATTATCTCAAGAAGAGCAGAAATGCCTTCAGAAAGTGGTGTCTCTCTTAGAAGGCTAACAACGTATCCATAACTTTTATATGTAGATTACCTCATCATTCAGTTCAAAGTGTTTTTAAATTTCTGTTCTTATTTCTTCTCTACACTTTTCTTGTTATTAATTTCTAGCCTAATTTTTATACTTTATGTCTTTTGTCACCTTCTATATATGTTATTTGTGTCCTTAAAACTGTGTATAGTTTACACAGTTTTTGAATGAAGTATTCTGTATGTGCACATGTGGTTACATGGTTAATTTTATTATATTCTTATTGACTTTTAAAACCAGCTTATTCTATGAAAGAGGAGTCTTAAAATATTCCAGTATGATTGTAGATTCAACCATTTTTCTTATAGTTCTGTCAGTTGTTCTGGCTCTATAGTCTCAGGTGATGTATTAGATAAATGCAAATATAGAATTCTTAAATCTTCTGGACAAATTGCAAGTTTATCATTAGGAAGAGTCATTCTTTATCTCTAAGGGTGCTTGTTGCCCCAAAGACTACTTTGTCTAATGGTAATATACTTATTCCAGCTTTCTTTTGGAAGTGTTTGCACAGTATGTCTCTGTCCTCTTATCTTCATATTTTACTTGTGTCTCTGTGTTGTTATGTTTTAAAATAATGTGTCTCTTATGAAAAGCACATTGTTATATTTTTAAATTCAGTCTGATAATCTGTTTTTTAATCTGTTATTTTTGTAATGTACTTAGTAATATTTAATTAAATATGCATTTTCCATTGGCTCTGCCTGTTCCGAAGTCCTTTAAAAATTTTTTCTCGCCTATTTTAAATTGATTGAATACTTTGTATTATTTGTTCTTTCCCTTTATGGACTTAGAAGTTACAGAGGCTTTAATTATTTTCTTAAGGATTATATAACATGCATTCTTTACTTATCAGAATCTAGCATGAATTGGTCATTTTAACTCCTTCTTGGGCAATGTAGACATTAGAACATTCTAATACAGTTTGCCTCCTCACAAGTCCATTCCCTGGCTCACGCTTAAGACTTAGAGGCTATTACTGTTCTGTGTTTTAATTCTAAATCTCACAAGACATTCTTATTGTTGTTATAGAGTCAACATACATTTACATTTATGCCCATACTTACATTTTTGTTTGCTTTCATTTTTTTCTGTATTTTTAAGCTTCTATCTGGAATTTTTTCCCTCTGCCTAGAACAACCTTTAGCATGAATCAGTTCTGCTGGGTGACAGTCTCTCAGTTTGGTTGTTTCAGATATCTTTGTTTCACCATTACTTTTGAAGGCTATTTTTGTTGGGAGTAGAATTCTAAGTTGACAGTTATCATCTCTTAGTTTTGCAAGATATAATTCTTTAAATTCTGCATTCCACTTTTTCTATTGAAAAGTCACTTGTGAACCTTGATATCACCCCTTTGAGATTACTTTGAAGGTAATTTCTTTTTTCTGATTTAAGATTTTTTCCTTTTCTTTGAGGGTCAGCTATTATATATGATATGGCTAAGAGTAGATTATATATATGATTATATATAATTATATATGTCTGCAAGTGTTTGTGTGTATATATTTTTATATTCATATATGATAATCCTAATCAAATTTCAGGAATTGAGATGATTTAAGTCCAAGCTGGAGCCCTTGGTTTATCCTTATTTTGAGTGTAGTTTTCTTTAGGGTCTAAAGTGGAGAAAAAGGTTTACCTCCTACTTCCTTTTCTGGGCTCTGGACTTCAACATTTACCTTTCTGGCTCTTTATTAACATTTTCTAGTAAATGCTTTATTAGGCATTTTTTAAAAAATGCTAATAAAGCTCTTAGCTTTTTGGCTGCTTCTCCTAAACTCACAAAAGCCTCCCAGATGAAAAGCGCTCCTAATACACACAGAGTTTACCTTTTGGGTTTCTTCCATCTTCTAGATCTTAGTCTCGTCATTTTCCCCTCTTGATAATTTTTCAAAGCCCTCATTTTGGGCCCAGCTTTTTAAAAAATTGCCTTTGGTGGAAGGGATTGCCTAGTTAACTGATCTAATATCCAAGGTTTACATTTTAGAACGACCTTTCCACCATACTCAGATATATTAAAAGATAGAGCTTCATATGGCCACTGTGCCCAGATTTTCTCGTTCATCTTCCCCAGGCTACTTGTGCCCGTCAAGACACAAGGTAATGCTTCTGTCACCCATAGCAACTATGTCTTTGAATAAAAATTATCAGGGCTAGTCCTGAACAAGTCTGTTTCCTAAAATATCATTAGTATCATTTGGGTCACTTTTGAGATTCTTGGGCCACCAACACTTTACCTCTCTTTAACCTCTTTCCCTTACATCTATTATCTCATATCGGTTCTACCCAATCAGATGTTGCCATGGATCTGAACTATCCTTTACCCCCAGAAACCTTCTTCCAGTCTACCCAGCAAAGTCAAAGGTAAGTATCATTTTAGTCTATGAATGAGGGAATTCAGGCAAAGGTGACTTAAAGTCACTGAACAGTAGAAATCCAGTTGAAGATTGTTCTTTATTGTTACCACTACAGTGACTCCATTGTTTAAAGTGTTCAAGGTGGGCTTCCACTGGGTTAGTGAGAAGCAATGTGGACCTCCAAGAAGCTCAGTGTATTCTTTTTGGTAGTTTTCTTAATTCTTGGTATATCTAGTCGTTCTTTTGTAATCCATTCATTTGTTTATGAATTATTTGTTGAGTGCTTTCTATATGTGAGGCTCAGACATGCTGACATTCACTGACATAAAAATTTTACCACGTTATTTGATGACTGTTTTCACAATTCGAATTTATCAAATAAGTACTGAGGCACAGAAAGTGTTTGTATTTCAAAAAACAATCTTGAAAAAATTCATCAAAACCATAGGATATTTTAAACTGTGAACTCCCTTTGTATATTTAATTGTCTTGAAATTCCAAAAGTTCTGAGTAGAAGGCTTGAGGTAGAAATACAAATGCAAGAGAAAAGGTCTTCCTAAGTGGAGTCCTTGGCCAGCCCACTACCATCCCCCTCCCCAAGTCGGAAGAGTGAGGAGAGGAGCAAAACTAGCGCCCAGATCTTTGCTGCTTAAGGCTTAGGTTGCCAGCTGGCATGTGTCTTTCACACTTATGTGTTCGCTAATTTCCACCATCAAAACCATTATTAGTATAATCACAATTAGGGCCTTTTTAATACTTAATATGTCTGAACGCTTCCTGATTATTTTTCTAGAAACTCGCAGGCCAGTGCCTGCAGCTCAGCTGACACAGCTGTGCTCTGGGCAGGAGCCCCGCCCTCTGGCTCTATTTCCAGGCAGTCCCTCACTTTTCCCAGAACAGGGAAAACAGGAAACACCAGTTACTGTAGGTGTTTCTGGACCTAAGGAATGCAGTGCACTGGAGGTAGAAGATGCTCCGTGATAACATTCTCTAGGAAGCAAAGAGCTTTGTTAAAAACCACCCTCCTGAAGTCTATCCAGCCTGTGTGTTTTGTTGAATGAAACATGCCTGATTATTTCATTATTTCTTAAGTGAATACACTTTGGAGTATTCATGTGGAGTGTTTCTGTAAACAGCATTTGAACAGGAAATCTCTGTTCTGTAATGGAAATTATTTGCATAAGGCAAGGGAAAGAAAATATGACCCTAGAACTAAGATTTGAGGAAAAAAAATTATGTATTTTTCCAGTTTTTGGAAAGAATTTTACTGGAGATAGCATATTATTGTTCTCTCCAAGTGAACAGGGATCAGATGAAAAGCAGAAAGAGTACACCAGAGGAATTCCACTTTAAAGTATAATTTTGAAATTCCCTGAGAGTGTCTGAAATGAATTATTTTATGTTTTAGACACTACTTATATTATACCAATAGATTTAATCATTTTTCCTGTTAATTTTGGTAGCATTTTAGCAATATTCCTTTCAATTCCTATGTATTTCTTTCAGTCAACCACCCAGTTTTTCATAAAAAGTATTGAAGTCATCCTCGTTTACACCACAGTTATAGTGTTAAATACTTGCATAGCACTGAGAAGTCATTTGCTAAGCAAATGTCCTCATGTTGCTGGGTTTTTAAAATATTTTTTAATAAGCTGCTTAGCTTACATTACATTGGGTAAATACATACTTTAGAAAAATATTTAATAATTTGACATATTTTATTCTTGCATTAATTATCCCTTCATTTTTATGTACTAGTCTCTTCTGGTTATTTGGCAAGGTGCATTTCTTAAAATAAGTACCCAACAAATAACTGTAAAGGGAATAACAGACTGCCTCTACTCTATTTCCATTATTACCCCAATGGATCAAAGTTAGGCTAATACATTTCTTAAAATAGACATGATTGAGGAAACGGAAAGCAGGGTAATGTTCAAGTAACATCTGAAATTCCATTTAGGACAGGCTCACGCTTATTCAACCCAGGCCAGTGTCTCTGTCGGGGCGACAGTAAGAGTTCTGCTGGTGGGTGTAGAGGGTCTCCCTGCGGTCATGCACACGAGAGACGAGCTGCCATACAAAACAGACAGGCTGTCACACACAACTTACCATCGCTCCATTTTCCATACATTTTTTCCTGATGATATCTATCTAACCCAGTTGCATCATTTCTGTAAAGTGATGCGTTCCACAGATATAGCTTTAGCTGGTCTCTTATATTTATGATCCAGTATTTCAAGCATCCAGTCAGTCATGTTAACCCTTAGAGTCTTGTTATGTTTTCATGTATCATTATTTTCCTTTGTCTCTAGGTATGTCCTTAAAGTTGAAAATTCTACATGTTTAAATTCTGAAATTTTATTGACAAAATATGTAATGTCTAGATTAAATCTTGAGAAGTAACCCAAGGGTTGGATAAGTAGAGACAGTGGGATAGGGAAATGGTTTAGGAGAAAGTTTTGAAAAGCAGACTTTAGAATGAGGGCCATGAGAGAAGATAGAATCTAGGAGTAAAAACAAAGGTTTTCTTCAGGAATAAATGCTTTAGAAAGTCGCTATAGCGACATAGACAACGTGTGCTTTGGAGTCAGTTACCCAAGATAAGAGTCAGATGTCGGTTGGGTCATAGTTGTGAGACTTTGGACAACGGAATCAACCTCATGGAACTTTAGTTTCCTTATTGATAAGGCAGGGCTAACAACAGTTATTTCATCAGATTCTTGTGAGAATTAAATGGTAGAACAACGAAAACACCCAGCATAGTGCCTGTTATAAATTAGTCATGAAACAAACAAACAACAAACCAAATCTAAGAGGAAGGTAAGTACCAGAAAATTGCAACAAGTTTACATTTCCCAATGTAAAGAATAGTTTTAGTTGATACTATCTTTTTTTTTTTTTGAAAAAAGAGCTATCCCAAACTCCTAAATAACAACTCTGCTAGAATATGGACTCAACTTGGAAAGTGTAAACTGAGAAAAAATTGTTTATCTAAAAGCTGGCATGGCGTAAGTTGAATCTCTCCCAGACCTGCTAATGGAGTAGGGCAAGAACCAGTGAGTTTGTTTTGGGTATGGCACAAAATAGTCCTGTCCGCAAAGGTCCCGAGAGTTCATTCGGAGCAGGTCTGTCACTAGCGGTAAACAAAAAACAGATGTGAAAGGAGAATGAACGGCTGTGGGAAGTCATTGCCAGGACTTTATAGAGAATAAATTGTAAGTAAAGTTAATGCACCCACTAGAGGCTGAAAACTCTGTAGAGACATTGGAAGCAACAGGACTTGTCTTTCTTCCCCAGGAAAGTCTTGGTAGCACTAAGACTTTAACATCAGGCCTTCATAAGATCTTTAGACAACAAACTGGGAAAGACGTACCTATGGAACTGTAGCTGGTTAGAAATTTCGTGTTGAAGTGTCACTGCCAATGGTTCAACAGTAACACAGAAAACATTAACCTAACCTTCCATATCTTTCTTACCATAGCTTTTCACAGAGGAGCTCGATTTCTTCCTTTCTCACCGGAGTGAAAGCCAAACCTACAGCTGCTGTCCAGGTGAGGAGAGGGCTGCTGAAGGGACTCGTGCACCTGCAGCCATGCCTTTGGAGGTGAGTTAGTTTCTCAAACACTTCCTGAGTGTCTTCTGGGTACTAGAGACATATTGTAGACCTTAGAATACAACAAGCGGATGTCACGGTTTTTGCCCTTGAATAGTGGGGAATAAGGTGGGACCGACACAGAAGTACATGACCTGCACTCCAAAGTGGTAAATGAAGATAAAGATGTACAGATCTGGAGGAATAGTGAGGCCAGTTCCAGGGAGATTCCAGGAGATTCCAGGGAGACTTTGTGAAGGGGAAGGAGATTCCAGGGAGATTCCAGGGAGAATCCAGGGAGATTCCAGGGAGACTTTGGAGATTCCAGGGAGATTCCAGGGAGACTTTGTGAAGGGTAAGGTGCCCACCCGACTCACTGGAATGTGAGGTGGACTACCTGGGTAAGGCTAAGTGAGAGGGGGACTCGAGGACGGCACGTTCTAGGCAGAGGAGTAGCCTGTGTGACACTGTGGAACTGCGTCATCATACTGTGTGTAGCTGGGTACGGAGAGGACAAATCCCAGGGTGGGAATGTGCAGAAAAAGGGAATAGAGAAGTAGGTGGTGGTCAAGCCATAAAAGGTTATATGTTTAAATATCTTGATTTTGATCTTATAAGAAATGGGAAACACTAAAAAGTTTTAAGAAGGAAGTGCCATCGTCAGGTTTTCAATCTAAACTCATCATTTTGATACCAATCTAAAAATTGCATGTGAAGCCATAGAGGGGGCCCATGAAGAAGTTATGGAATCGTCTATGCCAGTGCTGCTAAGAGTCGAATAGAAGAAGGAAACAGAAAGAGGGAAAGAACATATAGGTTCAGTGAGACAAGAGGTTCAATCAGAAAAAATGAGAGATTGGAGGAACATAGCCATTCAGTAAACAAGTATTTCAGAGGGAAAAACATGATTGAGCAGGTTCTGATGATAAACTCAGTTTTGAATGGGTTACAACTGTAGAGTTTATGAGTGTTTTCAACCAGCAAGTGAGCATTTGAATTATGACAGAGGTCCAGGCTGGAGTGAAAATATTCCAAATCCTCAGCAAACACTTCATCGTCAAACATGAGATAGCATCATATTACCTGAGCATTACCCATTCACTACTTAATTAATTAATTAATTGGACACTTAATGAGCATCTGATCCCCAGAAGGCACCTTTTCAGACACTGGATGAAGAAGTGAACCAGACAGTCTCTGCCTTCGTGAGGCCTGGAGTCTATAGCCTGGATGGGAAGAGCACTGGGTCAGGCAGTAGTACAGATGGAGGGACAGAGGTCTCAAGAGGACTAAGAAAAGAGAGGAGGACCCGGAGAAGTAGGCTCCTAGAAGTCAAGGAAAGAGAGACTAAAGAGAAAAAAAGCAGCCAGCCTCTCAAACACGGCAGAGATGTTCAGTGCAATGAGACCTAAAAAGTGTCTGTTGGCTTTGGAAATACAGACATGTGCTGACCTGGATGAAGGCAGTCTTAATGGAGTGTAAAGTATACACTAGATAGCAGGGTACTTAGAGCTTAAAGAAAGCTGGAGATACTGAACATGAAATACATGTTAGAGAGGTTTGGGTAGGAAGTGAAACAGATCGATAGGATGAAGGCTAGAAGGGGAAGGACATTCAAACCAGAAATCTCGAAACTTTATCTTTGGCTCAGTTTCTCATTTCCAGTGGGCTCCGGTCACCTTTACCCAGATTCTCTACCAATAATACAGGCTTCACTCCTCACCACAGCACCCCTGTTTCTGCATGGGCCCTCACTAGTCCTAGACACCCTGACTTTAAGCTTTGCCTCCTTTCCGTCATCTTGATATCTAATCCTTGCAAGACCTGCCTTTTCTTCACTTTCTGTTGTAACCTCTCTACTGTAACCCTTAGCACATGATCTGTTTTGCCAACCTGACAAAAATTTTCTCCACTCTTGTCCTTTTCCTTGGCAATCCATGTCACCCACCTGCCAAAATGGTGTTGCAATAACACATTTCTGTTTGCCTCACTCTCCTGATCTAAAGGATTTAGGGCCTCTCCTGTGCCAAACAAATGAAGTGAAAACCTATCAAGCTGCTATTCAAATTTCTCCACAATGTGATTCCAATCAAGCCTCTTTGTCTTATTTCATTTCCCCAAAACATGTATCATGAAATACAGTCAAACTGGCCTGATCACTGTTTCCTAAGTTGCATTTTTTAAAAATATATTTATTTTATTGTTTTAAGATTTTTATTTATTTATTTTTAGAGAGGGAACGGAGGGAGAAAGAGAAAGAGAGAAACATCAATGTGCGGTTGCTGGGGGTCATGGCCTGCAACCCAGACATGTACCCTGACTGGGAATCGAACCTGCGACACTTTGGTTCGCAGCCCGCACTCAATCCACTGAGCTACGCCAGCCAGGGCTCCTAAGTTGCATTTTTTTCCTATGTTTGGCCACAAATTCTCTTCCACCTTGTCCAAATTTTTATCTATCCTTTAGATCCAAGTTCAGTTGCCTTTTTTAAAATAAATTTTTCTTGTCAGAATACCTACACTGCTTTTACCCTTGGAGACCATACAACACTTTATCTTTTGTAAAATCTTTGTATTCTAGATACTTGTATATTATGTTTATGATCTCTACTATACTTTAAGATCTGTGAGAGAAAAGGATAAGCTTAACATGTTTTATTATTAATATCTGGCATACAACATACATTTAATACATGTTTAAATGTAAGTAAACTCCCAAAGAGATGAAGATATGCATTTTAGAGTTCAAAAGTATCTTAGAGACGATATGGTCAAACCGTTTTACTTTATAGATGAAAAAATTGGAACTAAGAAGTGTTAAGTGACCTTTTTAAGTCACATGACTGGTCAGCAACAAATCTCATCGCCCGACTCTCAGTCCGGACTGCCCTCAGTTTCATGACAGCATCTGTATGGGAAGCCTGAGTTGAGCCATCACCCTTATTATCATTGTCCCCAACTCCGGCATCATCACTGGTGGTAAAGACATAGACCTTTTCTAGTCTCACAAGTTTATGAGTTCACAACTTAAAGTAAATTAAAACTAGGCGAAGGTTCGAGTGGCCCACCAGACTTACCAGACGGAAGAGGGAAATGGTGTTTCCCGTGAGGTTGTAGTGGGCCAGAACCTGGGGACTGGTGCTGATTCCAAATGCCACATCTGGGAATTTTTGCACCACATCACGGAATATGGACACTGCTGGTATTTCTAAATCCTAAAAACAAGGGGAAAGAAAACCCCACAGAGGTTATTTGGAAGGTGACATGGAATCAGAATAGGGAGTTGAAATGTGCTCACTCGTACTAAAAATCAAAGGCTTGGTTTAGTGTCCAGTAAAGTAATTTCCAGGCTGAGTGGGTTAATTGGTAACTACAAAATTGTGCCTAAGCCTGGGACTCCTCTCTGGCTTTACCATAGAACCTATAGTTGGTTCGTAGCCGAGAGGGGCCTCAAAATCATAGGGTCTGCAAAATTGGGCAGCGTTGTCAGCGACATACCCAAGAAAGCAAATGTTTTAGAAATAATTTGTGTAGTCAAAAAGAAATGCCAAAATAAGAAAGTGTTATCAAAAGGGCCAAAAGAAAAAAAAGAAATTAAAATGAAAACTTATTCATTTTGTTAACAACAGTTTGTGCAAGATGTGGAAGAATAGTCCTCCTTCTACTGTGTATAAGCCAGAGGCATTGTCCATGAAGGATGCTGTTTGTGACTTGTTCCAACTCTGGAGTGGAGGGGGACAGGGGAGCCACTTTTGAGTGGTGAGTCCTTACTATATCTCAAGCTGACATAATTTCCCTGGTGTTGTGGGACCATTGCCCACAGTAGCTCCGGGTAATCATCAGGGCTGAACATATTCTGCTCTGACACCTAGCTGGGTTGAAGAAGATGTGCAAATAGAAAGGAGGAAGGCTAGCCTTGCATCTGGGCTCAAGCAGAGGGGCCTGGCTCCTTGCTCATCTGAAAATACGCATGAAGTTCACTGGAGGCTAATCGTTAATCGAGGCTTCCTCTTTTTTAGTCTGTTCCTTAAAATGGAATTGCTCACAGATCAAATGACGGCATCTGGTGGCTGTTTTAAGTTATTGCACACTGTTCCTGTCCACCTCCTTGCCCCTCCCTGCTGTTCTGAGGGGTGGCTGTTTTTGTCTACACCTCAGATCTGTCTCATCACTGAAAAATGTGCTCTCTTCTCGTCCTCCCCCACTTACATCTCATCACAGCTGTTTCCAGCTGTGTACACAGAATGGCAGGGTGATGATGAGTTGGAATTAATGAATGGAAACTGACCAGAAGGTCTGCAATGAGAGAGAAAGGGCTTGATCAGCTGTGAGTATCACCGGATGTTACCTCCAGAGAAAGATGAAGGTGCTAGAATGATGCTCGCTCACTTATGGCTGCTTTCATTAGCCAGACAGTCAACCTGGATGATGGAGGCTAACACCTTCCATATATGAAACATCATTCTTTTTTAACATTTCAGAACCAAGAGACAGGAGACTGAAGGGCTACCTGTCTGTCAATGCATCACCTGGATGACGGAAGTTGGGCTTACTCTGGCTGCTGACCCAGCAATCAGATACTAGCTTAAGTTTCAAAGCAACCACAAATGAGGAGACACAGCCAGGAGTCTCAGAACTTTTGAGAAAGACGTACTTCAGAGCTGGGAAATGCCTAAACAACTGAGAGTTCTCGAATGAAAAAGCTGAAAGCAAACTCTGACCCCTTGGTTTCTAATGTAGTGTCATCCTGGCTAGATGGCGACTGTCATGTCTCCTTTGAGGCCAAGCTCCAGTTCTTTGGGAGAATGATGAGTAGGGCATGTGGACGAACCTGGAAGAAGCCTATGAGAGCCACCTCAGCAGCAGCAATAAACTCCGTGGCCTCTGGGACATCTGTGAGCCGCACAGGTTCCTGGGGAGCAGGGGAATCGTCTGCACAGAGAGACAGTGAAAGGGAAGCAGAAGGTATCAGGGTACTGAGTGGAGAGGAAGCAGCTCCATCCTGTTTCTCTTCATTTGACGGCCAAGGAGCTCTAGGGGTGCAGTTATGATCATTCCAAGGCTTTATTTATGATTTGTTTTGCCAACATATGGAGGGTGACCCCACCGTATGGCTGCTGTCAGAAGGATAGTGCCAGATTCCCTCTTCCCCACCAGGCAGCACCGGTGCTTATCCAGCATGTCCCAGGAAATCTTCTAGGTCTGGAGGACAAGGATTCGGAGTGCTACCTTGTTCCCTTCCCTTCTCTTGACAACACTTCCACCCTGGAGTCACCCACGTTTGTTTGCTTGTTTTACCTGAGGATTCTTGAATTTCTGCAACGACCTCTGGGGACAGCTTGCACGTGAGGAGAAAGAATAGAAACAGGCATCTGGGCCACATAGCTTCCATTGCTCTTCCGCTGCTGATCCAACCCCTGACTGTGTGTTTCGGGACACGGGTTCAGGGCAGCCCGCTCTGCGGTTGATAGGCTGTGGTGTTGTCAGACCTTTGGGAACTTTGCAGCTGGCGCTAGGGGGACCTTCAACTTCTGAGATAAGAGACCAAATTTAGTGACAGGGCCTCAGAGCCAAACCAACTCAAGGGAAGTCAAGTCAGTTCATTTAAATAAAAAAAAAAATTCCATGCCAGGCCTTGCCTTGAGCAGTGCAGATAGACAACTTCAATCTGATCCAGCCTCTCCCAGCTTAGATTGTTAATATGCAAAATGCACAAACAAACTGATTGTTCAAACATAAAATGGAAAATTAAAAAACAAGAAACTGAGAGGGTGCTATGAGAGTACAGAGTAAGGACATTCAGGACAGTGGTGGGGTTTAGTGAAGTTTTATTTTTTCCTCTACAGGGGATGGCCAAACAGAGTCCTGAGTAAATAACTTTGCTAGGCAACAAAGATGGAAAGGGAGTTTCACATAATGAGCCAGAGATGCAAATGTAGTGTGAGAGAGAATTATTAGTAATTGAGTACTATAAAGGGAAGGAAATGGGTAAATCTGGCTGGGGTCGGATTGCAGGGGGGCTTATGACTCAACATAGGAGCTTCAATTTTATCTGATAGGTGATGGAAATTCATTGAAAAATCTTAAGCAGGAGAGAAACAATGTCTGATTTGGCCCCCAGGTCCCTGTGGGTCTCCAAGAGGCTCCCACAGGTGGTACAATGCATAGGTCTCAAGCTTGGGAATAACTGTCACATGATAATACTATAAAATAAAACAAATTGAGATTTTCTTCCATTCATATTTTGAAGGTTCATTGCCCATTGCAGGAGCAGGGAAACCGAGCTGTTCCCAGTGGTGTAAATGCCCCCTGTACTATGCCCTACCCAACCCCCTCTGAGGAAACTCACAGATGTGAACCATCCAGTTACCATATTTGTTCAAATGAGAAAGCAAGAAAATGAGGGTCTCAGTGAGGTCATACAATTGTTTTATTCATACTCCCTTGTGCTGGTTAAGTGTCTCCCAGGAAAGAAGAACCCAAGTGGCAGGGAATGTGGTTAGGGACTGTCACTGAGCCGGCAGCAGCCACAGCATACTCCAGGGCTGGGAATGAACACGAGAACCAGGCAAAAGGATGGTTAGTGGTTATTTGCTCATTTCCTGGCCTCTAGTTCCTCAAATGAGAGCAAGAGAACCAGTGTTATACGGTTGCATATCGAGGAACAGAACTCCAAAGATCTGGCCGTGAGGGGAATCAGAAAGAATGGGAAGGATTTTAAGTCTCCAGTGCTAGGGACGACTCTGAGAGAGAGTGTGGGACAAGATGCATCAGTAAGAGGCTGTGAGGGGTGTTAGGGAAGGGGCCCAGCTGTGATAGGGGTGGAGGGACGGTGTGGTGAACACGACTGAGAGGGTTCTTCCAGGTGGCAGGCAGGGGCAGGGACAGGGTTGGGCAGATGTGCTCATTCTGTCCACTCCTTCTTAATGGACAGGTTCCACTCCCAGGTGAGGTGGTCGTGCTTGTCATCGTCGGTGAAGAAGGACTTGTTGTGGTAGGTGCCTCGGGCCAGCATGCCTTTGGGAGCCTCCTCGATGGGAGTCAGGAACTCATACTCTTCTGGCCGAGGCCCGTAGCTGCCGACCATAAACGTGGCTTTATCCACTGGGAAGAAAGAAACGTTCATCAGGGTAAGAGTCTGATAGAGGAAAAACAAACACTGCAGACTGGAGACCTGGAGCACAGCGCATGGTGATCAAAGCCAAGGGCGATGGTTTCCAGGCCTGGCTAAGCATCAGATTTCCTGGGGCACCTTTTTCCTTCTTATTTTTTAAAAAATCTGAGTGCCTTTTAGTATTATACTTTCTTTTAAACTGCCCCCAAAGACTATGGTTCAGTAACCTGCTGTTGGTCCCCCAAATCAGTGTTTTTGAAAAGTGTCACAGCTGATTCTGTGTATCAGAAAAATTATGGTCTCAGTGCTCTAAGTCAATGGAGATGAAGAATGTTTTTGTGGAGATGTAGCAGATTATACCATAAAAAATGCCAGGTGTTCAAAAGGTATAAAATTCTAGTTATAAGGTATGTAACTCCTGGGGACGTAATGTACATCTTGGTATCTATAGTTAATAATATATTGTATATTTGAAAGTTGCTAGGAGAATAGATCTTAAAAGATCTCTTCACAAGAAAGAAATTGTAACTATGCGTGGTGATGGATGTTAAGTAAAATTATTTTGGTAATCATTTCACAATACACATCAAATCATTATGTTATATATCTAAAATGAATACATTATATGTCAATTATATCTCAAACAAAAAAAAATTTAAACCAATTGAGACCTGAGTTCTTTTCTCAGCTCTGCAACTACCTAGGTCATATAACATTTTGGGGCCTCCATTTTTTCTTATATAATAAACTTTAAGGATCTTTTATCTACAGACTACTGTCCTATAAATGCATCAACTGGGGGAGATAAGGTTACAGCTGGTGATCAAAAGGAACAGAATTCATGGGTGGAATAATTGAATTAAATAGGAAAATCAATAATTTAGTTTTAAAAAAGTAAGAATTGGGACAAATGGTGAAAATAGCCAGCCAAAATTATTAATAGATGAATAATGGGGATACATATTAAGAATAAGTAAGGGGTTAGAAAGTATAAATATAGGCAGGTAGGTAGACAGCAGGCAATGTGTTGTTAGCTGTTCAGTGTTGTGAATAATTCTGAAGGAACAACTACAGACACAGTATAGCCCTCTCTGCTAAGTGAGGCAACATAGTCTCTATGCCCGAAGGAAAATAGGAAACTGCACTATTTTTTTTTTCACGAGACTAGGTATTCGAAAGACCAATTAAGTTCTTTCAGGTCAACAACCATCTGTGGGATCTGAGTAACTGAGTGGTTCTCTAGGCTATGCAAATTCATTAGACAATTTCTCCCCCCTCCCTTGTTTCTTGATTTGGTGGAGCTGATGCATTACTGTTCTGCACCTCTGTGGGGGGGAGCCCCTAAGGTAAGGAGCATTGTCAGGGTGCACCCATCGGCTTTTCACTTTTCATTTCTCCCTGCTCTTGCAATGGGAGAGAGCCGAGGACATGTGCCCAAGGCACGTAAGACTGCCGATTAAGGCGTGTTATATTATTTTTCAATGAGACAGCTTTTCTTAATTCCAGAAAGATACTTTTCTTTTTCTTTGTTTAGGAAATTAAGCACTGGTCCCCACCCACCTCCCCCAATGCCGACTCTCATTCCAATAAACACATATACCAGGGAATAGGTTCCTATCTGGGATTTCTCTGACACTCAGGTTTACATCTATGAACTGCTTTTTCCCTTCCCTTCCCTTCCCTTCCCTTCCCTTCCCTTCCCTTCCCTTCCCTTCCCTTCCCTTCCCTTCCCTTCCCTTCCCTTCCTTCCCTTCCCTTCCCTTCCCTTCCCTTCCCTTCCCTTCCCTTCCCTTCCCTTCCCTTCCCTTCCCCTTCCCCTCCCCTTCCCCTTCCCCTCCCCCTCCCTCCCTCCCCTCCCTCCCCTTCCCTTCCCCTTCCCCTCCCCTTCCCTCCCTCCCTTCCCCTTCCCTCCCTTCCCTTCCCTTCCCTTACATTCCCTTCCCTTCCCTCTCTCTCTCTCCTTTCAGGAATACTTTTGTGTACTTTATTTTATTCAGTCTTATCTTGGTTGCTCATCCCCTCTATGAGTAAAAAAGTTGAATTCCAGAAGCCGAATGCCTAAGGTTAGTGGCTGACCAAGTCTAAACTAAGTATCCTGAATGTAGGTCTTGCCATTAGCCTCTAGGTCCAAAGTGTATGTGTGCCCTTTCCTAGGGAAAGTGTCCGCAGCCTTTTTATCAGATTCTGAAATGAGTCTATGCCTAAAACTCGATAATAACCAGAAATGTAAGTACTAGTGAGAAGCAGATTGGGGGACAGTGTGAGGTGCAGGTGCCTTACCTTTCACCCCAGTCCGGTAGGTGTGCTGGACATATTTCAGGCCCGACACAATGTCTCTGTTCACCTGTGGGTGGGAAGGATCCGAACGATTCAGATTAAAGGGGCTCTTTCATTTCTCCTCATTATTCATTCTGATCCTACCTAGCTGAGTCTTCTCTGAGGATAAGAAGACAAGATTTAGTTTAGAATAAGGGTTACTATTATCATTTAGTGTGGTGGCATGGCAGAGATTGGAGAGAGGCGTTCACGAGGCTCCCTGTTGCCAATCTGGTTTTAATCATTGAATACTGTGATTTTGGGTTTGGGGAGGGGTGGTTAATCAAAACATTGTCTCAATATTATTCATTATCTTTCTCCTTCCTCAATGGTCCAGAGACTGGTCTTGATCTCCCCCTCCCTGATACTACCGGCCAGAAAGCTGTCTTTGTCTTAGGGAAGGTTATAAAACCACTTATGGGAAATGTTATGTAAACATCTGAAAATCCCAGCCTAAGAAATGACCCACCTAGCATATGACAGACAAACAACAAGGAGAAAAGCCGTAATGGAAAATCAGGTCGAGAGGGTGGTTGTGCCTCTAATGCAGGTATAATTGGAGGTCGAGGGTTGAGGAGATGGGTCACAGGAAAACATCCTCCGATGTGTAAATAATGGGTAAAAGCCACTTGTGTTTGGTGAGTATGTTGGATGTCTGTCATTTTCAGACGTTGTCTGAGGTCGTGATACTTTCCCAAGCCTTTCAAAGAAAATGCACTAAAGCAGAATGAAAATAGAGACAGTGCAAGTAAGCACTCTGTTTTTCCATTAGTCACTTTACCTAGGACTGAACTGGGTTGTCCGTTAATTTTATATAGTAGTCATGCTTATCCAAACAAATTAAAGTGGACATTGCATCATTAGCTGGAAGGCTTGGTTAATTGTTCACTAATATGAAGAATTTAAGCATCTTCTAATAATTTCTCCTGAACAATAATTATGGCTCCCTTTTCGTTTTGGACAGAGTAATTAAAGCAATCTGTCAGTGCTACATTGTTGGTAATGAGGTAGCATAGCAGTGAATCTG